GGCGCAGCAGAGGCCGGCCAGCCCGACCCCCGTGCGGAGAGCCAAGCCCGGGGGCGCAGGTCCTCGGGAGGGAAGGGAAGGGCCACTTTGGGCGACCGGCAGGCCGGGCCGGGCCGCTTGGAAAGTAACTCCCACTTCCTACCACGGAGTAGGGATTGCTTTCTGTGTGTTCCCCCCAGTGCCGGATTTACGCATAAGCTAAATAAACTACAGTTCAGGGCATCGCAATCTGCTGGGGCCTCGAATAGAAACACAATATAAAACATGATTTCAAATATTAAAAAGGCGTCTATATTTTAAATTTTTCTGAGACCAGCTGATGTAATTTAAAACAGTTGGGGGCCTCTGGGTTTTGTGTAGCTTAGGGCCTCGGCAAGTCTAAATCCGGCCCTGGTTCCCCCCTCCCCACGCGGTGAACGCCGACTGGGACTTTCTCCGGCGCGAACTTTCCTTGCGGTGGGAAGCGCGCGGCGGCGCTCCGGCGCTGCCATCCGCTGCAAGACGCGCGCTTCGAAAGGGTGCTCGTTTGCAAGGTTGCTTGGGAGCAAGTCCCAAGTAAATTGCAGAGCATTTCCCTTCCAAATGCTGGAAGTGTGCACGAGATTGCGCTGCAAGGCAAAGAAGGGTGGCTTGTCATAGGTTCATGAATAAGCAAGGGTTTTGGGGGTTCGTTCTGACGTATATGGAAGGGGAAGTCTCCTCAACGGTAGACGCGCGTGAGCGCACCCCGAGTTTCTCGCTTTTTATTCGTTTGAAACTTTTTCGAGCCTGCTTTCAGACCCCATAACATCACCAAGGCGAGTGATTTCATTTTGTAAAAAACATCAGAGAAAGGCATACCATCAACCGAAACCTCCCGAGCAGGGATTAAATTCAACGGCGGGCGCTCAGAGTAGTTTAAGAAAAGTAATCAAGTATCGCGAATATTTGGGAAGACGAGATTACTCGGAAGGAAGAGTTGCTGGCTTCAGTGGGGCTTCCAAATGATTGTTCCCAACACCAAAACTTCACCCCTGTGCCCAGCGGTCTGTTATCCAGTCTGCCACAGCACAGTCCTAATCCGAATGATTCTACTGAAATCAATAGGTTTAGAAGGATGGAACTCTTTTTAGGATCGCACTGCCCGGCACATCAATTCCTGCTCTGTGATTTCACTTGACTGGACAGCCATTGAAAGGAGTGCTGTGTAATCCAGAGGATTTAGGCTGCAATCCTAAAAACACTTCCCTGTGAGTAAATCTCATTGTACTCTGGAGAGAAACCAAACTTTATTCTCAATAGACATGTCTTTATTCCTTGTTTTATACCCAGAGCGATATACAGTACTAACACACGTCTTTAAAATACTGTTTGAAAAACGCAATAAAACAACAACATTTAAAATCCAATTGTTACAGTGCAATCCTATAATGTCATCTGATAGGACTGCACTGTATATTAAGCAAGAAAATAATTGTCAAATTATCATGTGATGATAAAATGGAGAAGGAGACAATGAGGTGAGCTGCTTTGGGTCCCCATTGTGGAGTATAAATGAATTGAATAAATAAAAACTAAACATAAAAGGGCAGTAATGAGGATGAGTTACAAAACTGATGACAATAAATGGGGACAAATGGGGAAATCAGCATTAAAACAGCAGACACAAAAATAAACCAACAACCAAGTCTTATTCTGGTGCTGAAAAATTCCCATCACCTTATATATTGCCATATTGCAATCACCTTATCTATATATTCAATCCACCTGGACTGAATTGAGACCTAGGTTTCCTGTCTCATTGCTGATTTTTCCACACCTTTTACCCCTCTGCATATCTCACCTAAATCCAATCACACCTGATATTGTCATTCATCTGCTATTGTCATTTGCCTGGTAATGTCATTTGGCATCTGAAATCACTCCACTTTCCAATAAATAGGACAGATGGACTCACATTCTAGCTAAATCTGAAGAAGTGAGCAGTGACTAATAAATATTAAAAAAAAAAAAAGAAGTGAGCAGTGACTCACAAAAGCTCGTAACCTGCCACATATTTTGTTAGTCTGAAAGGTGTTACTGGACTCTTGCTCTTTTCGACTTATATTGAGTGTACCTGTATTTTTTTTAAAAAAAATGCCTGTGCACCTGCCTTCTCTGCTGTGGCCCCCGCTCGTGGAATGCCCTGCCTGCAGAGGTTAGGAAGGCTTCTGCTATCCTGGCTTTCTACAAAATATGCAAAACTGAATTATTCAAGAGGGCTTTTCCATGCAGGCAATAGAATTGCACCATACTAGACGATTCACAAGGTTACTTGGATAAATTAATAGGGACTCTGGTCTATACTGCATCGTTTACTTAAGCGTTGCTTCAGATCTGTCTTTAGATTTCTGATTGGTTCTACAATCCTATCGTTCATTCCCATGTCCTATCCTATGGATTTATATTGACTCGCTCTGTGTAATCCACCAGAAGTCCAGGTGAGAAAGGCGAGCTATAATGCTGATTTTATACTCAAGGAAATCTTTATTTGCAAGCTACTTTCAAGGAAGGAAATTGTACGTGTCCATAACTTCTACATTTTTATAAGCAAATGTTAACATTTCGTTCATATAAAAAGAGCATTTTATATTGTGTGTATGGGAGGCATATTTCACATGGATATTGTTTTTTATAATCATAAGAGAAATCCCATGTCTTCAATGTTTATATCTTAAAATTTAACAAAAGAGAAGACAAGGAAGAAACACAGTATGTCATTAATTACAACATACATAGATCATCTGTCTCAGCATAACATGATACATTAATTAAACATTATACACCAATTTGGTGTAGTGGTTAAGTGTGTGGACTCTAATCTGGGAGAACCGGGTTTGATTCCCCACTCCTCCACTTGCACCTGCTGATGTGACCTTGGGTCAGTCACAAGCTCTGGCACAGCTGTTCCTGAAAGAGCAGTTTGTGTCAGAGTTCTCTCAGCCCCACCCACCTCACAGGGTGTCTGTTGTGGGGAGGGGAAGGGAAAGGAGTTTGTAAGCCGCTCTGAGACTCCAAGTGAGGGGCGAGGTATAAATCCAATCTCTTCTTCTTAATTGTCATTACTTACAACGCAGACATATATATGCTGATTGTGCACCTAATAAAGTGGCCCATATCCATCTATCTCCTGAGGGCTCCAACCTGGATGGCCCAGGCTAGCCCAGTGTCCTTAGATCTTGGAAGCTAACCAGGATCATCCCTGGTTAGTATTTGGATGGGAGACCTCCATGGAAGTCCAGGGTTGCTACACAGAGGCAGACAATGGCAACTTGGTGGGATGGATGGATGGAGAGAGAGAGAGAGAGAGAGATTATATATAGGGTTCCAAGTAGGATTTTGAGTACACCTGCTTAAGATGTCAGTGTAAATCTGTTGGTCTTTTCAAGTGCCACCGGACTACTCTTTTTTCTTCTGGCCACCCTACTAGGACATAAAAAGGGACACCCCCAGCATAACACACCAGAAGAGGGATTGTAGCTCAGAGGTAAAATACATAGGTAAAGTTAAAGGTTCCCTTGCTCGAAAGCCAGTCGAATCCGACTCTAGGGTTGCGGTGCTTATCTCCGTATCCAAGCCGAAGAGCCAGTGCTGTCCGAAGACGTTTCCGTGGTCATGTGGCCGGCATGACTAAACACCAAGGTGCACGGAACACTGTCACCTTCCCACCAAAGTGGTACCTATTTATCTACTTGCAATTTCTTGCTTTCGAACTGCTAGGTTGGCAGGAGCTGGAACTAGAGATGGGAGCTCACTCCGTCATGTGGCACACTCGGGTCTCGAACTGCTGAACTACCAACCTTCCACAGCCTGCAGTTCAGCGTCTTAACCCCTTGAGCCACCGCAGCTCCAGGTCCCTTTACGTAGAAGTTCCCAAATTCTGTTTGCAGTACCTCTCCCACTAAAGCATCACAGGAACTAGGACATAAAAAGGGACACCCCCAGCACAACACACCAGAAGAGGGATTGTAACTCAGGGGTAATACATTCTGTCTAGCTAATGCTTGGGGGGGTGCTAGGGCAAGCCTACCAGCAACAGCATGCATCGCATTCAGATACTGAATAAATGATTCATCTTTTAGGAACAAAATGTTGTCCAGAAACCTCCCTGGGGAGGAAAATGGGAAGCCACATAATATGTAGCGAGTGCAACGTCCTCCACAACTAAACAAGCCACAAGACAGAGGGATCTAGGCGTATCACTGAACTGTTAGAGGGAACATTGGTTGTGACCTGCCTAGGGAGATAATTTTGGGTGGGTTCCCATGTGGGTCAAACAGCTGGTTCCAAGTCTAGCAGCACCTTAGAAACCAACAAGATTTTCAGGATATGATGAAGGGAGCGTT